CATGTAAATAGGGGCCCGCTGTGCGCGAGCGTGCCGAGTCATCGCCTGTCGGAGCGGCGCGCCATTCCCGAAGCCTGACGCCACTACTTCGTTTTCCATCGCATTCGCAGGTTCTTCCCCAATAGAGACCCTTTCGTTAACGTTTACCTTCACTTTCCGTACACATAGACCTCCGGCCGAGAGCACGGCAGCGGAGCAGCGCTCGCATGTATATTAAAGGCGACCTCCCGCCGTCGAATGGAGCAAGCTCCCCTTTCCCCCACCTTCACCTCTAAAGTCTGCCCCTCTGAGCTTCGGGCACATCCTAAGAGCATCGAGAATACACTCGCGAGAGCGCGAGACGAGGTTCGCCCGCGACGAGCGCGGGCACGAGCATTTAAGTAAGAGTTTTATTAGATCGTTCATCGAGCTTAGTTACGCGTTTAGATATCGAGTTTAGTCATCGGCCGTTCCCTCCCCACACGTAAAGCCCCGCATATATCGAGCGCCGACCCGTACGTAGAATCCTCCTCCACACCTTCACATAGATATTGCAACGGGGTTTTTTTGCGTCGATGCATGCTGTGCACTGGAAAGAGTTTGAGATTCTCTGAAAGTGGGACAAGAGGACAAGCTTACCATTTCATCGAGCACAAAGGAGATGGAATTGTCACCTGGGTGCCCTTTTATCGCCTCTGGGCTAGGAGATCTCGCAGCTAACAGTGCGTTGGAAGAATCGGGGGAGTCGGAACGGTCATCCCGGTCATGCTCACTTCCGTGAGCACCGCCGCGACCACGACCACGACCTTTCGACACCTCAGGTATTGTGTCTGTCGGAGTTGCTGAACGAGTCGACTGGTGGTTGTGTAGAGGCTTGCGGATCGTCTTCGAGATTCATCGGCCTGTCCATATCGTCGTGCGCGACGTCGATATCCATATGATCGTCAAGACCGCCTCTGGTGTCCACGTGTTCTCCGAGACGCCCCACCGGCAGCACAGAAGGAGATTTCTGAAGCCCTGTAGAAGCTGTCCGGCCGTCTTCGACGTCCGCGAGATTGTGATCATCATCCCGCATAGCGTCCAAGTCCCTCTGATGATCAGCGTCGTTTTGGCCCTGCGCGGGATCCGCGTCTGACACGCCGTCTATATCTTCGTACGAAGTAACAACAGCGTCTAGTTCCTCGTCGCTGACTCCAAATCCGCGCAGATCATCTACGAGGGAGGCAAGCTTTGTCATTTTGTTCTCAAACTCGCCTTCGAGGTCGCGCTGGCGAATATTGCGCGCATTTTCGAGTATCATCTCGCGCATGCGATTGTTCAGGGCTGGAGGAATGAACTCGCTCAAGAGGTCCTCCTTGTTCAGCGTACTTCCCAAGCGAAAAACGCTAGAGCAGAGAAAGGTCCGTGCGGAGACGACAACATCAGTGTTGTCGGTGGGTAGCCTCGCCTGATCCAACACACGTGACATGAGCATTGACGTTGCATGTTGATGATAGCAAAGTACTCACGAGAATGCCACTAATCTCACGTAAAAAATCTTTTTGCTCCGCTACGGTGCGTTTGGGAGCCTGTGCAAGCAGCTCGGCTAAACGGCTGTGAACCCTACGCAGTTTCTTCCGCACGCGATCGGCTTGGGCGTGCTTGATTTCAAAGGCACTAATCGATGCCATGGGTGTCGTAGGTAGAGACACTTTTTTGCGCGAGCACGAGTCAACGCTGTGTCAACTTTTTCGAAGGCTAAGCGAGCCGGGTCTCGCCTAGCTGATGAGAGCCGCAGATATCAAGTAAATACTAAAAATGGTACTGATTTGATGCGCCTGGGCACCGAGCCTCGAGCGCCGGTCAGCTGTCCGCACATTCCGCCAGTAACCTCAGCTACACTGTCGGTATATTGCATGTCTGTATTAGCTTAATCAATCTCTCTGGCATAGCCCGCGGCTGCCCAGTCTGATTACACGATATGCGCACCGCGGAGCGCTTACGTGGTGATGTGCTGCGAGCGATTGGGCTGGGAGGATCTAACATAGCCAACGAAAGCCACGGCTGTCTAATGCTGGCTCCACAATTGCTCCCCGTAGGCTCCACATTATCTTGCTTAGTTAATGTTTCTGTACTATCCAGCTATGTGCAACAAGGCTGAACAGAGGAAGAGGGTTCTTTGAATATGACTTTCGATTTATTCCTTGGATTTTACCCAAAAAAAGTCAATTTGTATTGAACAGGTGCTTAAATTATGCTGTAGGTGTGGCTAGGCGATCAATGCACAGACTTGGGCAATCTATGGAGGGAAAAGGCGTGCTTAATCGATTGAGCAAGCGTCGCCCGGGCGCCGGTACACGGCGCACACAGTTCCGTAAAGCTATTCTCCTCGTTCACCTCGCTAACGAGGTGTGTGCATGGTTTATGCAAGTATTCCATCTCTTTTCTCTCTTTTTCTTTCCTTTATCACCCCGGCTAGCCTTGGGCAGCTCTCTGGCTAGGGTCTTTTGCTGCAGGCGGTGGCTCAGCTCTGGCTATGACCTAGGAGGCTGAGATCACTGGCGGAATGCGCGGACAGCTGACCGGCGCTTGAGGCTCGGTGCCCAGGCGCATCAAATCAGTACCATTTTTAGTATTTACTTGATATCTACGGCTCTTATCAGCTAGGCGAGACCCGGCTCGCTTACTTAGCCTTCGAAAAAGTTGACACAGCGTTGACTCGTGCTCGCGCAAAAGAGTTGACACTCCTTTTGCCCCCTGTGTAAGCGTCAAAGCTGGAAATGTTGCGCTTAACACACAGATGGCCATGATGATAGCTGCCCGTGCACCTAATTTTCTCGTCCGTACGTTTCGCACATCCGTGTGCGTACTCGTGGTGCACGCGCACTTCTCAAATCGAAAGCGTGTTTCATCGTGTTTCGAGCTTGTGATGTGCCTGTTTTTGTCCGTCCCCAACCTTCGGGCGCACTTCGTACACTGGTCCCTACAGTGTCCTTGTCGCAGCAGTGCAGGCGTTGGAAGTGGTTCACGAGCTTGTGGGGACTTGGGTGGTCAATGTTGCGTTTTGGCAGGATAAGCGTCGAAGTTGGAAACGTTGAGCTTGCACACGGCAGATGGCCACGATGAAGCTGCCCGTGCACGTAAGTACGTTTCTAGGCTCGTCCCCGCCGCGTCCGTACGTCTCGCACATCAGTGGGCGTCCTCGTGGCGCATGCGCACCTCTCGAATCGAAAACGTGTTTCGTCGTGTTTCGAGCTTGTGATTTGCCTGTTTTGGTCCCGCCCCTAACCTTCGGGCGCTTTCAATAAGTGCTAGATGCCGTAACTGTTTCAGACGCATTTAGCTTGAGGCCTCGGCTTGCTTGGTAGGACTCAAATAAAATCGATTTCAGTTTACGGTACGAGTGAGAGGCCATCCCACACGACAGCCTGACAAGACCACAAAGTCCAACCGCGGCTTCTACATTCGCTAGACATGTCCGACGACAAGAAGATGCGCCTCGCCATTGTGTAAGTGCGCAGGATGTCCAGAAACTCAGGCTGTTCACCGATTTGCACCCCAAAGCGGCGGCGGGATCGTAGGCCTCGCCTTCGCCATCTCGCTCGCCAAGAGCGGCGCACAGAACATCGAGGTGGACATCTACGAGAGCGCGCCTTCCTTCGGCCAGGTCGGCGCCGGCATGGGATTCTGGCCGCGCATCTGGGAGAGCATGCGCCTCCTCGGGCTCGAGGAGGACCTCAAGCCGCTCGCATGCTCTGGTAGATCCTACCTCCGCGTCGTTTCTGAACTGAGAAATCGCTGACAAAGATATACTTCAGAGAAGCCTTTCCGTTTCACCAAAGGTAACCAACCTCAATACGTCCCCTTTGGTCAGAGCCACTGTAAGCAGCTTTCATTTTAGTTTTTGTTCGTGCACCCACCGTCTGCTTCAGCGGCCCTGCAATCTTTCCACCGCACCGGCGTCCTCGCCGTCCTCCTGCGCCACATCCCAGCACACTACCGCACGCACTTCGGCAAGCGGCTTGTGTCGTACACCGACTCTCCCGATGGGCCAGTCGTCTTGGAGTTCAAGGATGGCACGACCGCCACCCACGACTTCCTCGTCGGCTCAGATGGGATCAAGAGCGCCGTCCGCCGCACAATGTATGAGAACTTCGCTGCCGGTGCAGAGGACCCGAAGGAGAAGGAGCGCCTGCTCGCGTTCGTGAAGCCCACCTGGACGGGGCAATATGTGCATCGCGGTGTTATCAGCACTGAAGACTTGAGGAAGGCAGCGCCTGACCACCCGGCACTTGATGGTCCCATTTATGTGCGTTACCGTTGTTAGACTCAGCCGCCAGCTTTCGCGACTGACATTCAATCGTGATAGTTCTTGGGCAAGAACAAAGTGAGCATCCTGCGTTCGTTGAAAAGTCGTGGCTGCTGACGGCATGCCAGTACTTTATTTGCTACCCCGTCTCTAGTGGCACGCTTATCAACTGCGGTGGACTTATTTCCCACCCGGACAAGAACGGAACACTGCACGATGAGCCCTGGGTCGAGACTGTCAGCCAGGACGAGCTCCGTGCGGAGTACCCCGGCTGGTCGCCTCACGTGCACACTGTCATCGATGTAAGCTCTCTGTACTTATATCCAGCACCACACTAACAGCATCGAGAAGCTCATCGAAGCACCCTCAAGGTGGGCTGTCAACTCTGTCGTCGACCTGCCCACGTACGTCTCAGGCAGAGTCGCTGTCATCGGAGATGCGGTACGTCCCTCGTGTCGCCTTCGTCCAAGACCGCATTCTGAGTGACATGCCCCACCAGGCCCACGCAATGACCCCTCATCAGGCGTCCGGTGCGGCGCAGGGCATCGAGGACGGCCTCGTCCTCTCTGCACTCCTTGCGGACCCTCTCGCCAGCCCCGCGACGCTCCCTCACATCCTGCGCGCGTACGACCGCGTGCGCCGCCCGTTTTCGGAGGACGTTCTCCGCCGCTCGTACGAGACCGGCGCAGCATACTGCTTCCAGCGTGGTACATTGGCAGACGTCTCTGTCGCGGACAGCGTCAGTGGGAAGATCACACCAGAAGACTTGAAGGCGCTGAATGACCACGTCAACGAGCTGCTGGAGTGGACGTGGAAGACGAGCTCTGGTAGCGACAGGAGCGAGGCGCTGGAGATGTTCCATGGGTTTGCTGGGGCTTAGGTAGTCAATTCTGCGACCTTGGTAGGATAAGCGTCGAAACTAAAGTGTCTTAAGAGATATCCATTGTTCGTTGCAGTGCAGCATAAGTGCCCTTCACAATGTACCATCTTTCATTGTAAACCCAAGGACCTCTCCACTTCGCTCCTGACCGGTGTACTCTCAACTGCTCCAGGACGTTGGACGCATAACCCCGCCGCCTTCATTCCCATCCATGTCAGCTATTCGTACTAAAAAGGGACGGGGAATCCTACCTTAACCGCAAGCCGCAGCGCTCTGAGCACGCCTACCACTCCGCTGGGACCAGATCCAGCTGACTCTTCCATCAGGCCCGCAACAAAGTACCCCGCAAAACAGTCTCCCGCGCCTGTCGTATCCTTCACAGGGCCGGAAAGCTTAGCCGCAGGGACGTGCAGGACATCAGAGTCCGCTTTTTTGGTGCCAGATGGAGAGAGAAGGGCGACAAGGCCTTGTGCGCCGAGTGTGCAGATGACGTTGACCGATTGTGAGAAGCGGGGGTGTGCGTGCAGCTTCTCGAGGAGCTGCGTTGCATGCTGCGATGTCTTCTGGCCAGACCCTTGCAGAGCGTCGCCGCCTACCCCAAGGACGTCAAGCATCCCACACACCTCTCCCTCGTTGACGATCAGCCAGCTCAAGCTTCCCCATGGGATTGCTCGCAGCTGTTCTGCAGACGGAAGGGGCGACGGGTTCCATACAGCTGTCGCATTGATCTTAGTAGCATGCTCGAGATATGCGAGCGTCGCGGACCAGGGAATCTCGTTCTGCAGGAGGAGGTGCGTATACGATGAGTCAGCGGACGTAGGTGGGGAAGAAAGAAGCGGCGGGGCAAGGAGGTAGTTGGCGCCTTTATGCAGGACTTCCGTATATTAGCTGACATTGGAGCATTTTTTGCAGCAGTGTTATGGCTCACTGATACAGTTCTCGCCCTCAGGCGTGAGCTGGATGATCGCGCGGCCCGTTGGTTCCTACTCGAACCATGTGTAAACGAGCTAGTACCTCGCTAGTCACGAAGATACCTTTGGCTCACCGAGTTGTCTACTATGACGTCTGAAATGTCGACGCCAGTAGCTTCGAGCCCTCGTACGAGGTGCGCGCCATCCTCTCCGACCGCGCCGATGAGCTTTACGCGCCCGCCAGCCTTGGCAACCGCCGATGCCTGGTTTGCACCTTTCCCGCCCGCACGCCTCTCAAAGTGCGTGGACGAAAGTGTCTCTCCGGGACGAACCACTGTCGGCACTGTAGTAACGCAAGTTAGCCCCGCGTGAAAAGGCCACACTGCGGCATACCATGGAAAAACTCGTCGATATCTATGCGAAATCCAGTGAGACTCTGAGCAGCCCAGAAAGATTACTTGTGGCTTACTTATCGATCCGCGTACAAGACAGAGCGGCTCCCGTTGGGCATTGCTCATCTTGTCCTTAGGTCAAACCACACTTGCAGAAGCAGTTGACCAAAGTGCGGGACCCCGACGCACGAGTGTCCCTATCAAAAGTGATGCGCTCATGCCGGCCGCATTACCAGATAAGGTAGTGCGTCGCTCGATAGGACTGATCCACACTGCTCCCGTTCCTTGCCGTCTTACTATGACCAACCTCATGCATCTCGGGCTTAAACAATAGCTGCTGCGATATTTCTTGGCCATGTTAGGCCTTCCTTGCAAAGAACCTGACATTTGTGTCGTTCAGTTGAGTCGCTGTTCGCGTAACCGCTTTTCTTGTTCGTAATGATATTTACTAATACCACTGCTTTGAACAGCATTGATGCATGTTTACGCCAACTGAGGCGCTTTTATCGTTATAGAGGCGATGGTATCTAATGATAGATGCAAGCGTATTGTTCAGCCCCATGCGGTCGGCTCCTTCTCAATGCCGACCTCAATCTGCTCCTCAACCCAATCTCTCCAGAGCATCCTTGAGCGAATTTTGGTCCTCAGCTCAATTTGGTGTCCAGTGAGTCAAGTAACGCGACTTTTAGATCTTCAGACCAGCTGCATTTCCTTCAGACGGCGTGCTGAGTCCAAGCCCTTAAAAATCTTCATAAGTGCGCATCTGTTGAATTTGTTAAGCCACTGCTCCGATGCAGCGTGCTCCGATGCTCGCACAACTCTCACGAAAATGCGGCCACGGATAACCGTCTGAAGCTGGTGGATCAAAATGACCTAGTGCGCGGGGTAAACTCCGCGCTTCTAGACTAGGGACCATGCATAAATATGCGGCGAAGTCGACATTACTCTCGGTTAGTTTTTTCCAATCTACGCGATCTCGCTCTCTGCCCTCAACGTTTATGTCGTGACCGTTCGCTCCGTGAGTCGAGCATCCTCTCATGCAAGTCCAGAGTATCGCTGAACGATTTTACAGTTACAAGTCATTCATTATATCGGAAGTACCATACTTGCTATGTCCGAAGGCGCTCTTTCGTCCCTCGCTAAACCCGTTGCACTATGGCTCATGCGAGCCAGGGGTTGGCACCGCCGACCAATGCTCGTGAAGCAGCTTATCCTGTTCGCCGTGGTCGCCGTACTTGCACTCCCTCTACTCTATATGCCAAGTGTGCGCGATATCGACATACCGGTACTTAAACCAGAAACCTATAGTGCGCTATCCACCCCAATACTTTCTTCGACCACTGTTCTTGCGAACAAAGCAGAACACGTGTCCTCAAATATAGACAGCCACATGAACGGAGACGGGCATGGCCCTGTCGACGCTGTTCACCCTCCGCTTGTCGAAGATATATCAATATCAGATGCGCCATTGAGTCCCAGCGACCATTTCCTTTCGTCGCCGACCGCACCTTCCCAGCCGGTCACATTTGCCCTAATTATGTGGTCTGAGGACTCGGCCAGTGAGGGCGCGATTCTGCTAAAGGTGCGCTCTTCGCATTTACTCACCATTGGTCTTCTGAGCTTGGCACACAGTCGATCATGATGTACACGTCCGTACCGGTCCACGTATACATCATCTGCGACGAACAGGCGCAGGCGCACATCGAAAAGCGACTGGCACTAGTCAGACGTCCGCGACATGACCTGCACGTCTTTTTCTACCGCTTGTCTTGGCAGGCAATGCTCGGTCGCGTAGAGCGCGAAGGCAGTATCAGCACCGTCCATGCAGCCGGCACTCGTGAGTTATCCCGCAAGGCTTCCTCGATGCCAGCTGACAGAGACGTCAACAGCGGGGCTTATGAAGCTCTTCATCCACGAAATACTGCCCACTCACGTGCGCCGCGCAATCTTTGTTGATACAGACGCCTTCTTTACGACCGACCCGTTGCTGCTATGGCGCCAGTTCGGTACCTTCAACGCCACGACGGCGATTGCACTGCCGTCGCACCCTGAAATGTTCGCCCCGGAGTGGTACGATGCGAACAAGATCTGTTCGTGCGTGATGCTGCTCGACCTCGAGCGATTTCGCACGCTCAGACTCATGGACTCGACGCATTACCGCACGGCAGGCCTGCCTGCGCTTGCGCCTGCCACCTTCCGCGCGCTCTTCGGCGAACCCGACGCCGCAACAGGCCACTTCGCAGACGCCGCGCTCGGCGACCAGACTTTCTGGTGGGCTATCATCCAAGGCCGCCCCGAGCTGTTCAAGCACCTGCACTACGACTGGGAGGTCTCGAGCTGCCTGGTCGAAATGTATGGCACCGGCCTCATCGGTAACGACAACGTGACAGTCGAGAACGAGCTCCACGCGCAAATGCACACGTGGGCGACACCGCACCAGGGCGAGGCGATCATGCCCAAGCTTGTGCATTTGTGAGTTCCTTGTCTACTTTCTTCTGCGCCGCTTTGCGCTGAGACATGGCTAGCAACTGTCTCGAGGGCCCGCGGTACCATGAATGGGCAGGCTGGGACGACCCAACTAACAGTCTTGCGAGTCGCTGGGCACCTGCTGTGCAATACCACGCTGGTTACAAGTGGCTATGGCTAAACCAGGGACAAAAAGACGAGGCTTCGATCACGACGGAGACCGTCCTTGACGTGCGCTTTGCAGACGAGCTGCAAGAGTGATGATTTTGCGTTATCTACAATATCTACCCTTATAGCAAGTGTAGTACCTTAATTACAAGTCTTGTTTCTGTCTTTTTGTCGTGTAATGGCAATTAATATTATCGTCCGCCCGAGGCTCTGCGTTTCCCGATTTTCCTGCTCCGGCGCTTTCACCTTGTCCGCGCGGTACGCGAGGCGACCTTTCATCTTGTTCCATCATGCACAACTCCATAGTCGACCGGTCTTCGCACAATTTGGCCTCGTCATTGACATAGAAACGTATCTTGCAGCTTAGACCACCTGCGAAGCGTATATATATATACTAGAGAACAGCGCAGGTCATACACATAAGCCAGCCTGAGGCTGTTCACGCATCATCTCACTTTTACCGACATGTCTGCGATCTACACTGTCCGTATTCCATCATCTCGATTCTAGCACGCTGCTGAAAATATCATGTGAGGTAGACTATTCCTGGCTTCTTCGTCCAAGATGATCCAGAGGCCGTTGGCTCTGCAATCGGCGCAGTGCGTGCATCTACCTCTCCACTTGGCCACATTCCCTTATCTGCGACAGCTTCCCCCACGCTTCGGCTTACTCGACGACTCTCCGAACCGCTGGGTAGCATTCAAGGCTAAGATCGACGAGCTGAACGCGCGTGCGCCGGAAGGCACGGCGTACAAGGTCTTCTGGCTGGGTAGACATGGACAGGGATATCGTGTGTATCCACTCAGCACATAGACGACTGCCATTGACCTACTGCGCTGGGGAACAGATAATCTTGCTGAAGCCAAGTATGGGACCGAGGTGAGCCCCTCCATTGCATCTGACACGCACCAGCTCTGACCGCGCTCGTACAGACCTGGGACGAGTAAGCCTTCTGTGACATCCCAATTTCAACAAAAGCTGACACAACACAGCTACTGGGCGAAGCTGAACAACGATGGCGAAACCGTCTGGGGCCCCGACCCGCTGCTCACGCACCTCGGCGAGACGCAGGCAGAGGAGGCGCACAATGCATGGAGGAAGGAGCTTCCGCATGGCGTGCCCGTCCCCCAGAAGTGCTTCGCGAGCCCGCTCAAGCGTGCCCTTGACACCTGGAAGATCACCTTCGACCGCACGGGCGATGCCCAAGTGCTCGTGCCCGAGGCGCAGAACGTGCTAATCCTTGAGGTACGTGGTCGGCCATGCGCGTCGAAGGGACATCTTGGCTGATGCTCCGGCACAGAACTGCCGCGAGGAGTACGGCATACACACCTGCGACCTCCGCTCACCGCTTTCGCACCTGCGCACGCTCTACACGCCTCCGATCTACACGTTCGAACCCGATTTCGCCGAGATAGACCCCCTCTGGGATGCTGAAGAGCGCGAGCCGACACCGCACCGCGTTGGGCGCGCCCGCAAGGTGCTCGACGTTGCCTTCGCCGAAGACGCCATCTGTACGTTCCGCTTTTTCGAGGATGCGCAGAGTCTGACGAGAGCAGATATTTCAATTACTGCACATGGAGGGTTCATCAACGGCCTCCTCAACGCTGTCGGCAGGCCCAACTACTCACTCCCTACTGGAGGTCGGTTTGCTTCTGATTTCTGCACGATTCTCTTGTCTCAGACTTGTCCTTCAGGTGTCCTGCCCATTGTGGTCCAACGTACCGCCAATATGCTCGCCAACTGAGCTTGATGTTATTCTTGGCAGCTGCATCGCCATATATCACCGTGATCTACTGCTTATGACGTGTCTTAGTCGGGGATAATCGATGAAGTCTTGTCCTAGCACCTGCGCGTGCCATTGATGACCCGGCATTCCATAGATAGATGTCTGCCTTCAAGATTTACTCCAGGCTGGTGCTTAGGCAAACAGTACGTGCCCAAGCAAATAGAGAGTACTGCAGACTTAGCAGATTGCATAAAGTGTCACAAAAGTCTTAGTACCGTCCATCACAGCGGGGCCATCATATGCTTGAGAGAGTACATGGCACCAGGTTTCCGTGATGAAAATTAACAGCGTAGCCGTGGACTTTCGCGGAATCAACGAATGGCTGTATAGCTGCAAGTGTAGCTGTATTGTACAGGAAGCGTGAACACTAGGCTGATCTTCCGGCAGTGGACGAAGAAACCTACTGCGCGTATGTCTACCCGATGACGATGTTCGCCCTCAAATTCTTCCCGTCAGCCACAGTATAGGCAACATTAAACCCCCGCGGCTTGTCCCCGAGACTCTCTACGCCATAGGACGCGGCCTGTCTCTCGCGCATGTACGCTCGTTGAACGGCGCCTCTGTCGGTGTAGTACTCGCCAAGGACGAGCGTGCCCGTCTGACGTGGCTCGAGCCCGGTCACGATGTCGCACCACCGCTTGTAACTGTGCACGCCGAAGGCGGCCAGGAAGTTTTCGCCTGTGTCTGACTCGAACCGCAGTGCTCCAGACGTGCCGCTGCCGCCCAGCGTGAGGATGTGCTCGCCGCAGGACTCGTCCCACGTCCCGCCGTTGGCTTCGTGCCAGACGATCTTCTCGACCACGCGGAAGAACGCGTTCGTGCTGGTCTGGTAAACGCGGACGGTGATAGTGTACGACATCCTGCAAACAGAGACTGAGCGGGAGAGGTAGACAAACACTGGGAAATCTCACGAGGTAAACCCTGTGCAGCGGGGAATGTGGCTCCGTTAGGTTGCGTGGCCTCCTCGATCCGGGTCTTATGTGGACGGACGTAACCCAACGTGATAGGGTTCATTGAACATCGATCGCAGGTATTGATCTCCGTGACATGCGGCAAGGATGTCTATCGCACAGACATCTACTCACACTGACTTCCTGTCTCTGAACTTTGCGGGAGGGTCCTAGTTGCCTGTACTAGAGGGCTCATGAGACACACGGTTCGATCGCGGTCACCCGCGAACATCCAGCTTCAGCAAGCGCAGCAGCATCCCATCTAGCATATGGAGAATACGTTTCCTTCGACGGACGTTGCATTGCCGCGACTAATCTTCTAAAGTAACTAACGTCAACGCATGAGCATCAGTGATAGAGCCCGCTAGCCGCAAGCAGTAACCGAGCACACCCTAACAGCATGAGATGGATCATATAACTTGAGCACGACATTCAGATATCTTCAGGAGCGTACCTAAAGCCTCTGGAGTTTGGACGGGTATGAGATTACTGTTCCGCTCAGTGAAGATCCGTACTTGACAAAGATAGACCTGCGAGATGGATTGACGAGGCAAAGAGTCGGGAACTACCTGTGAATATACGTATAAAATGGTTCAGACAGCATTGTGATATGCATTGACATACCGCCAGCTAATTGTTCCAGAACAGAGTAGCTTTTTGCAGCTCAGTTAAAGGGCTAGACAGATGCAGATGCAAAGCAGCGCGCTCGTGAAATCTATTTACGGTCGTGATTATTGCGTAGCAGTTGCTAAGTCTGGACCGGCTCGCAGTACTTCGTGAATTGCGTTCTGCCGACTGAACGAGAATTTGTGGTGCCAGCAGTCAAACACAAAGTTAAATGTTTAACCTTTCAGTATGATTCACGCTTGACTGTAAGGACTGGAGTACTAGTGTGATTGGTACTTTGAATTAGTACATGCCCAGCTTTTACGATCTACGATATCAGCGGTACCTCAGTCCATGTCGCGATTCTGCGGAATGCATGTCCTCGCACCTTTCCGCGTTCCGGCTTTCGTAGCAGGAAAGCAGTTCGAGTGCCGGCCTTGCTGGCTCCTAGGGAAGTGCATGAACTAGACAAGGGTATGGAGACTCGTATTATAGGCAATACTTAACATCATAGTATCCGCTAATCACGCAAGGAGTGATATTCGCTCGCGACTTAAAAGTTAAAACTAAGCTCGTCGTGCGAGGTCGTGAGATGTACAGCGCGTCCCGAAAGGCGGGACACCGACGGGCGCTTCCTCACACTGTCCCGCTTTATCTCGAAATTATCTGATAAGATGAACTCTGCACTCGAGGCCGACATGACTGTCACTCGCTGCTCGCTTTCCGCCCTCGTATCTGTCTTTGCAAACACGCTTTGGACGCTCACCGGAGTTCACGGGCGTGATACGCGATGGGTAAATGCGCTGACGGCAATGTTGCCTTGCTGGCAGCTCGCCGTTGTCGTCCACCATATAAATCTCTGACCTGACGCACCAGGCTGCAAAACGACTCGCAACGATGACCTGGAGCCTACCCGCAGAGCTCGACGACATCATCATCGACTACTTCCATGATGACCCCGCCACTTTGGCTACATGTGCCCTCGTGCAAAGATCATGGGCCCCACGAGCCCGACACCACTTCTGGCGCGAGCTGCACCTGACATGCACGAGAGAGGAGCTGGAGAAGGTGGGAAGCATGCTCGACAAGTCGCCCGACATCGCGTTCCATGTCCGCGACGTCGTGCTCTCTCAGAAGAAGGGCGAGATGTGCCAATGGTACGACCTCCATCTCCTGCACTCCGCATTGTACATCCTCGCCCGCTTCCCGTCCTTGACCTCTGTCAAGTTCGACGGCCTCTGGTTCGGCGCACCGAAAGACAGCGAGAACACGCCGCATCGCCTCACATTCCCCACCGTCCGTCGCCTCTGTGTTAGCACCTGCACCTTCGACGCCTTCGACGACGTCCAGCAGCTCTGCGCCGTTTTCCCCGCCCTCTCCCGCCTCCAGTTCGACGGTGTCTGGTGGGGTCGCTGGGCCGCGGACAAAGGCTTTGCGAGCGGCGACAAGCAGGGCGCAAAACCTCTCATGCTGCGCGAGCTCGACCTTGGCAGCTGCTTCTCGCGCGATCGCGTGATCGACTGGCTGCTCGCAACGCTCCCCGAACCATCCGTCGAACGCCTCCGTCTTCCACTCGTGGGCGCGTACGACACCCGCCTGCGCGATCTTCTGCAGTTTGTCGGCCCATCGCTGCAACATCTCGAGCTTGGCTCGCCGAGCTCGTCCACCATCCGCACGAGAAGTAAGCCAGTGCTTATCTGCCGTTATCCCTCGCGCTAACAGCTTTTATTATTTGCAGCTGGCGTTGAGGAAAAGCCTCTTGCGACGTACCTTGACATGTCGCACAACACGGGATTGCGCACCATACAGCTGGGCGTGCCCACGTACCGCGATGCGTCGTACATCTCGCTTTGGCTCAAGACTATTCTCGGTCAGGTCGCCTCGCCGCTTGAAGAAGTGCGCTTTGCGGTCTACCCCATCCTCAAGGGCGACGCTCCAGAAGCGAAGAACATGCTCCGCGCGTTTGCGTGGAAGGACCTCACGTCCGTCCTCCAAAAATCGCAGTTTGCGAAGCTCAAGCGGGTCGTATTCGTCTCCGGGAGGTCGAAGGACTACTTGAACGTACCTGGTGCATTCATTGCGCTACAGCCGCTCCTGCGCAAGATCATGGTCCCTGAATTCGCTCCCTTGACGAAGCAGGGAGTTGAGATTGCTTTCGAAGATGTTTGAGGGGCAGGGATACGCCAGCCTCAGATATTCCGACTTTTGAAGGGATTATATATACGTACATCAGGGTAATTAGAGGCTTCGTCAGATGCTTAGATAACGGATTGCTAGATGTAGGGCGTCCAGCATGGTATGTACGCTCGTTATTAATTGATATCGTTGCGCCGCGCTCGAAGTACTTTGCCAAGGCCTGGGTTGGCATCGCACGAACTGCTGCGCCATCACCCTCAGCGCCACAAAGATTGCCTCCGCGCCTGAGGCCTGAGCTCGTCTCTCCGTCCACCAACGTCGATGACATCCGGTCTCGTCCAGTTCTCGGAAGGAACGCAATCCTTTTTCCTAGCACTATCAGAGATCCCAGAGAGTAACCTCTCTGTGGCTGATTCACAGAGAATACGCCCTCCTGCTACGCGTGCAGCGAGCATCCTCTGACTCTGGTCCGCAGAGTTTTTTTCACACGAATAAGATCGTCCAGCCGCCTTGCAGCCAGTATGTCGATGGAGGACGCTTGCGGCGCTTTCTGCTCCGCTGTCCTTGGTGCATGCTGTGCGGGGTTCTGCCAGGACCTCGCCTCGGTCCGTGCGTGATTTTCTCTTGGTTTTGTCAGTTGCCCGTCTAATCTCGCGGCCAGGACGCCCCTGCATTGGGCGTACCGCCATGCGCTTGTGCCGGTGCGCAGGCGGCAAGGACACAGACGAGGACGAGGACGGACGCAGTACACCGCCTGTCGCGGACGAGCGGGCGCCGCTCCTTGCACGACCGCGGACGACACAGCCTATTCAAGAGGCACCGATGGTCGTAGGCCCAGTGGCAGGTACGACATGATGTCTCCTCAATCTGCCGTGTTGCAGGTGAGTAACCGAGCCAGTTTGGGCGGGTTGGGCTTATGAGCGTGGGACACAGCTCATGTCGTATACTGGCGTGCTTTTGCTGCCCATACAGTGGGCTATCGAATGTACTCATAAGAGATGTCAAATAACATATTTCTGGCTCCGTTTTAGGTTACGCCCTCGCGCAATGGAATGTAACCCGTTATATTGTAGATTGCTGCTCGTTTGATTGCAGTAACTGTCTACTTCCTTCGAACTATGCGCTTCCATACAATTATACTAGCGCTGCATTGTTCGCATCAACAAGCTCTTTGACTGCTCGTGCAATCTCCACAGCGCCCTTGTGGAGACAAGTCAGTGATCTCCATTTGAACGTGATTAAAAGTGCACAGCGTACCGGTGTGTCAGAGTGACAGCATATTGAGACCTCCTTGACACCAGGTGCAAGAGGCAGAAAGCCTGCAGCTGTCGTGATCAGGCCTTCGTTCAAGAGCTTGTTCACCTGTGGTGCCATTCAAATAAGTCTGGATGCGGGCACATCATCAAGGAGAACACACCCGTCCTCGGACAACAGATACCGGCACAGGATCATGCTTCCTATAATCACGCGGTGAGGCAGTACACTTTTTGGATGTGTAGACGAGATGCACTTCGTGATCAGCAGCTTTCCGTCGGGGCTATATTCCAGATCGGCAAACCATTCTGCGAAGCGTGGTAGCGTCAAGATCTCGTGTAATTGTCATACGACCTTGTATCACTGATGTACGGACCTGCGATGAATGGTACGCCTGCTTCTCTGGCAGCCTCTTGGTGGCAGGTGCCCGCGAGACCCATAAACGGGACATCGAAGGTCTTGGCGACGCCCATGACAGCCCGCGCGAGGCTGATATCGCGTGCGAGCATACCATACACAGCGCCATGAGGCTTAATCTACACGGAAAACTCGGTCACATCGGCAAAAGCGCAAGTTGTATGAGACGTACATGGTTGAGCGGGAGATCATGTCGCGTCAGAAAGCCGCTGAGCGCGCCGACCTGGTAGACAAAGCATTGCGCAAGCTCCTCCTGTAGTGATAGGTTAGCCAGAGAAACTGCGAGGCAAGAGGTGATAGCGCACAGGATCCATGATCATCTCGCGCCGTCCAAACCCCTGGCGGTCAGGAAGAGACGGGTGTGCTCCGACACGTACGCCGTTCTCCTTCGCAAGGCGGACGGTTCTGTCCATAACGGAGAAGTCACTAGAAATATTGGAATATTGATGAAGCTGCGCTAACGAGAGAAGCGGTGGAGAAAAGGCACGCACGAGGCATGAAACCCACAGGCGACGTTTGCCAAATGGATGGTCTTCATGAGCTGTTCATCGTCTCCCTAAGCGCATAATTGTCTCAGGCGCAATTTCGCAAATAACATATGCATGACTCACTATGGTATACAACGAGAAACCCTGTAGTCATGTTGTAAGTGCGCTACAGGTGGTCGTGGTGGGAGCGAACAAGGGTCTGGAAGTGCGGACCGACACGCCGAACCTCATGAAGCAGGCGCGCCTGCAACCCCACCCTCAACCTCACACCCTCAACCGCGACCAGCCGCAGTCTTCGCCCCTGGTCTTCTGAAGACACCTCCCAGTCGCGCCAAAGCCATCCCCCTCGATGTATGGGCCGCTCGTTCTCGACCCCATCTTCCCTACGAATACGCACGAAATCTGAGTGATACTAGGTGCTTACCTCGCCCATGTCGCAGTTCACCGACGCTCGGATGCGCTCGAACGACATGTTGTCCGACTTGGCGTAGGACAAATAGATCCTTGCACGCAGGCTTCCGTTGCATGTGTACTTATAGTCCCAGAAAGCACGTCCTCCTGACATCATGCGGGGCACGAGACCTTATCAGTGGGTAAACCGAGGACACGGGAATCTGGGAGCTTGGAGAGCTAGGTGCGCACTCATGGCCATGACATACTGTTCTTGACAAACGAGATGCGCTTGCAGAACTACGGGCTTCTTCTCCTGCTCTTGAGCCGCGTCCCTGCCAGCGATGCCGTATCGCTCCTCGACTGGATATCTGCACGGACGGCAAGCTCGGAGTATGGACAGTCGCAATACATGCACAGACCGACTTTACACCTCCGCATGTCATCATTAGCAGACAAAGCGATCCCATTCCGACTAGGCGACATCGACCTTTGTCCCGCCTGTGTACCTCGGCATAAGGAGCCACCGCGTAGGAAGGCGCGGAACGTCGTACTCGTGCTCGTCCGCTTGTACTTCATTTTTCTCTCAGAAAATGCTGGCTTTCTTGGTATCGCCTGTTCGGCCAGAAGATGAACCCATACCTACTGCCGATGTACGCATATTCGGTAAGTATTTCCCATATCTTGTATGCTCTTCGACTTTAAGCAGTAAGATGCTCCAGGTGCCGTCGGGATAGCTGGACCTAGTCTTTGCAATATACTCGAGATCGACTCGCCTGGCAGGTACTGCCTGACGCCGTCCCTGGGGCAGTACTGAGGCCGTATTGAAGTCTATCGCCGAACTGTAGTTGTTGCGGAAGTTCTTTGACCAGCTACATTAACTTTACTGGAAGCATGGTTTGACTATTTTTTTTGGTTAAGTGGGATATCGGTTTTACTCTAGGATACTGCTGGCGTGAGCAGAACTTATGTTACAGCTTACCGTACCAGTCGCCGTACCCATTAACAAAGCCGTGACTTTTCACATAAATTACAAGTCCAAGTGTACTGCATGCTGTCAAAGCATATTAAATCTGATTGTACTAATACACCAAGAAATGAGTGTAGATTGTCCCAGATAAAACCGAAAAGAAAAGACGAGAACAAACATGAGCGCCACGCAAATCAACAGAAAAATTACAATAATTTAAGAGACGTTACTCGACGGTGAGCTCTATGTATATCGCATATACGCAGGCGGAACCTCCCTCAAATCCGCCTTCACCGCTGCCTGCGGCAAATTGCTTTCGAGGCGCACGCCGCCGTCTGCATGCTGCGTTACGGGCCCCGCGAGCACGAACTGCTCTACGCTCTTCTCGCTCCAGGCGGTCTTCCAGGACTCAGGCTCTGGCGTTGGCGGTAGCGACGGCGTATAATGCGCCGCGAATGGATCTTCTTCCTCCTCTGCAGAAGATGTGTAGGCCGGTGGTGGAACCGCCGGCATGACGGGGGAGAGGGCGAGAGTAGACATGCGCATCGAGGTTGTGCCTGTGCGTGTCGTCACACTGTGTCAGCGGATGACACACCAGTGGCAGGGAAGCAAGCACCCACTGTCGTCTTTCATTCTCACATGCCGCCCGTTCTTTCGGTATAGCCTCCGCCTTCGCCACCAAAGGAACCCCAAGCCGGCGAAGAGTAACATGCACACGGGAATGAGTATACATGCAACCAGCAGGCCGATATATCGCCCCGCAGAGTGATGTTTATGCAAGAAGGCCAAGGTAGGAATGAATGTTGAGCTTGTCTGACTCGCACCCGAGTTTGAATTCCTCCCGAAGCCTGCTGCGAAGGATTCAGACGTAGGCTGCGATGCTGCCGCAGCTAGTAGTGTCGACGATTGCTCCATAGCGTTCTCTACCAATACGGTATTTGCGACGTAGTATATGTAATGAAGTCCAACCAGAACGGGGCGTTCGTTACTGCGATGATAGTCGCAAGAATGTGCTCGCCGTCCTGGTGCTTGCGTTACTGTAAGAAGAGCATGGATGGATGGATTGTACTCACAGTCGGAGTTGTGTACGTCACAGGAGAGAGGAAGCCAAGCGTGTACGTCAACACGGGCACCACGGGATCTTTCTATTCACACTTGTGATAGTACCGTACACGATGACAGTCGTGCCTGGGACAAAGGATGGATATTGAGTATCCAAAGAGAGGGTATGGGCGTACCGTTGAATGTGATGTGGACGGGAGACCTTTTAGTCGAGGTGCTTTGGGTAGTACTGGCATGCCCGGATGAGGGTCGCGCGCAGATGCGAATGAGTGAGTGTGGACGCACTTGTTGTAGGTCGAGGACAACCCTCCTCTTGTCCAGCCTTTTGACTTAAACAGCTGTGTCAAATGCCGTCGACAAAAATTGTCGAGCCTGATGTTCGGCGTCAGATACGATAAACCGAAGGAAAATCAAAAGAATGTGGAGGTAGAGAGTGACAGAGGGCGAAAACGCGCTGCGAACTAGGCGGGGCTGAGCAGGATGTTGTCAAGAGCTTGGAAAGGCGTCTCCGTCGGCCTAGCCATGCTGGCAATTGTGCTTGCCGCATTGCCGCAGCCGACGAAGGTGCCTGGCTTCGCTAACATATTGTGGGAAATATTTAATCAAGATAAAGTTGATGTTATCACGAGTGGCTGCTACGGAGGCCCACCAGCATGCGGACGGAAGACATTGTGTTCGTACACGGTGAGATCAACAGTCATGTCCTCGAGGGCGTCGGGGGCAGAGACAGCGGACGATGGCCAGCTGTTCCGCCAAGAGTGATCACGTGAAATTCACGTGAGTATCTTTCAAAGCGCCAATGTATTCCTGAATCCTGAGTCCCGCTCACGACGGCCACTGGATCCAAGTTTCGGTACATGTTATGTTACGTGTTTCTAATCTGCACACCTTTTCATTCGATCATGCTTTCGCGGAAGTGCTTGGTTTCTCCAGCGTGTCTGGACGAGCACTTTGAACTTATGTGTACACAAACCGAACGATTCTTGCGGTTTATGAGCTCGAAGCTTGCAAACAAGGACATATCTCTGTAAGACAACCTAGGACCTCTCAGAGAACCAACGTCAAAATACTGACTCTCTCTTTGCTTAAGCAGACTACACTACGTCTAATCCCCACACTTTCGGCAATTATCGAGGACCGCGGTGGTATACAGGTAATCCGAATCCGCTCTCAGGACAGCTTACCACTGACTGACAAGCTTATTAGCAGCTTTTTCCGGGGCTTTGGCGTAATCCTGGTGTCCGGCTCTTCTCGCATTTGTTGGGACGTTTACCGAGCTTCCAGGGGCGCTTTCGCGGATCCTTGGTTGAAGTCGAGACTTAACCTGGTTACCTGCCCCACACAGGCTCGCTGGTTCGCCTACATACACTTCTCAACATCTGAATGATTCAGCATGTAAATGTAGAACTACCTTGACAACACAATTCATCGTAGCGGGAGAAGTACGTCGATTTCGTGCCTTTGCGTACCTGGCTGGCACTCATCTCCCCATAGGAACCAATAGATTTCCCCCCGGGTACGCATCTTAGAAATGCATCACGCGACCCCATCCTTCAGCCAACTCCGTGCCGCCCACCACCTCATTGCCTATCCCCGGCCGCCGCGTCCTTCTCATGCCCAGCATCCCACAGACCGGCTCACCGTGCCCTCGGTTCTTAGGGCCTGCAACCACGCCTGCCAACAACCACAACGGCCACACTGCGGATCAAGTCATCTTTCGATAAATTGAAGGCTTGTCCGGCTGAGTGTTTACCTAGACAGATTCTGCTGCGGACACACTCGTGGCGCACATGTCGTCATGTACCAGGACGCCGCAAATAGATACCGCAACCAGTGGATGCTTCTCATGCGACGAATCTGCGAACATGATTAAATTCCCAACTGAATCACTGCTATACGAGCCCAGCATCAGTATGCCCTTCGAACATGCCGTACAACCAGAACTCCAAACTCACCGGGGAATTGCTCCCCATAGAGGGCATATGGCGAGTATGGCTAGTGTTCCCGTGAGCACACTGAAGGCTGACTAAATTTGTTTGTGGTTAGAGTTACCCTGCCATGGCAACCGCATTTGGCGAATTCTCGCCATCGCAGGGTTGCCTTAGGCAATCGCTGAAGGCGTAGGGCGCCCAGAACCAAGTCCTTATCTCACTGTCGGAGTATCTACCTCTTGAAAAGCAACCACCACCACTGCTCTTGACGACACACCTCACGACGTCCATATCCTGTCTGTCGCTGCCTCGGCCTGGGACCAGGCGCACTTTCTGAGGCGCCACGGGACCTCGCTGCTTATGATTCAGCACAGTCACCCCCTTATCGCAACGCTATCCTCAAGAAACAGACAGTCTACATTCCATGACAGCCAATGGCGCAGAGGGGGAGTGACATGACATACATTGTCGCAAGCTACCTAGTATGTACTATCGGCTTCTCCGATTAGTCCGGTACTGACCAAAGTTTCCGAGTACAGCGTGCGTATTCTCAGCAAATGATGAGCACCAAGCTGATGGCTGAGCGACAGTTAGCGGTACGCTGGCTTAACTGTCTTTGGCTCTGCATTTGCTTTACAGCCCAGCCACCCGTGCAATTTGTCTCATTTTCACGGCGGGCAGTAATATCCGGAACTAGTCACAGGATGTTCCGGCGTAGCCTCCCGTCCGTGCTATGTACGACATAAACGTGCTCATACAGTCCTAGCTTCCGAACATGACAAGCCACCGTCGCGCCAAGCAGTCATGCTAGCTCCGAAGTAGTGCGGCATGACCACCTCATGACCGCCCCACGACCGCTCAGTACAGCATCGGCGCAGCAAACACACCGAGCGGCGAACTGTCATTGTTCATTGCCGTATGATGAACCTACCATTCTTTTGTAGCGCACATCCCGTGGTTACAGAATGATTAGGCAGGTGTGAGCTCTGCATACTTACAGCTATATGACCTAATCTTCCGCACCTTCAGGCTCCACTGTGACTGTCAGACAAGCCTTAGGGTAGATCGTTCAGCAGGCAGACACAAGCCCCCGGCCCTGAACCCCACAGAGCTACTGCAATTGTACCTGTCTATTTCGGCACCTTTGCGAGCCCATCGTGCCTGAACACCTTTCCGCGGAAAACCAGTGGAAAAACCCCTCTTGCTTGACGTAGCAATTGATCGGAAGACAGGCGCATCGTGCTTATTCAACACCCGTCTTCTCGCAGTTCACGACATTGACGAACATGTGCACAGCGGCCAGCCGCATTATCCGATTGTCCGGGAGGGAGCGCGCACTGTATCCTCCGTGGTCACAGGAACAGGGGCATTGAAATGAGATCTGCGTGCTCTCTGTCGCCGTTACGTGTTCAGCGGTCCAGACGTCGGGTATCTGCGACTGCCACTGGTGTCACACATTGTGCTATGGCCGGATGCAGTCACCGCCTTAATCCTCAGGATATCTGCGCGACTCAGGTATGTTATCGTTTTACCCAGACGTCTCCACGTTTTGACATAACCTTTTTTTGGCGCTCTCAAGGCTGGCGCCCGCGTTCTCGACCGAACGACCTCGCCGTCGGCAATGTCGCCAAATCACGTATGTCACAATTGCAATTGGTGAGACTAGACACAGTCGAGTCCTGACCATTAGACCATGGCTAGCCGCAGGTGGGATCGGCTTTTAGATGCGTGCCCTGACGCGCGCAAGAGGCTTTCCCAGGCTCAGCCTGCGCGTACATCCCAGCGGGGAACGGTCAAAGAATCTTGTCCTCTTCTGGCCGCGAGGATGCCCCGTTCCTGACTGGTGCCGGTCTACCCGCTGAATAGAGCTATTGACGTATATCCTCGCATTGCATGCAGGTGCACGCTTTCGGTACCATTCGTGGACTGCTCTGCCTTGTTTGTGTCTAGCCTTCGCCGAGGCGCAGCACGACGTACCCATCTATGGTGTTTCATCAAGGATCTCTCAATTGCTGCGGGGCTAGCCGCCCTCGGGGTGATGACTTCGCCCATATCTCCGTCTGCCATGCGGTGTTGTTATCCCTTTTGACGGTATTTACGGTGATAACCCGGTTCTTGTTGATGCGATCCTGCCATGCTGATAGTGGCGATACATCTCAGGGAAAGACCAGTACGTCTCTGTTTCATCGTCCCTGAGCGGGAATTCACGATCCTTCGCACGCAGCGTAACTTTGCACAAAAATGTAGTCTATATCCTACTTCGCCGCCATAGCACACGTTCAAGAGACTATTTATTTCGAATACGAAGCACGGAAGACGGACGTAATGACGCTGCTTGCGCAAGATGTCCGGCGCGGCATAACTTGAGCCCAAAATGACGTCTACGGGATGCGCAGGCTGAGTCGGAGACCTCTAAGGCGATGCTCTCTCCCTGAACATGATCGCGGACTGCACCCAGTCTTGGACCCTGCACTGTACATTGCTCTCACGCTGATTGAGTCGGGACGTGCGAGGCTCCCCCGAGAATGGACTTGATGTCCGGTCACCCAGACCGACTCTCATCGGAGGACGGTCGACCTTACTGGGCTCGCACTGCCTCGTATCGTACGGCATCGACCTGTTCCAGGCACCGACCTGTCACTTGCTGACATCTTTTTGGCATCTGTCTTTCTCAAGCGTTCGAACCGGGATCCAGTCAGGCTGATTGCACAAGCGCGTCCGTCCCAAGGTCCACCCGATCCTTCGTTAGGGCCTGCGGGTGCACAGAGCACGGGATTCTGAGCCCAATCCTTACTTGGAGGACGCAGGTGTATATAAACCCTCAGAACCCAACAGTGCTAGAGCAGCAGCAAGTCAAGTCAGTCTTCTCTCAACCACCCATCCGACCAAGCAAGTTATTCGAGATGTTCTCTTCTGCATACGCTCTCGCCATCGTCTCGTCGCTCGCCATCGTCGCCCAGGCGTTCAACCCCGCCATCCGGTCGCCGAACCCCAGCCTTCAGAAGCGTCTCACCGGCCAGACTGTCGCGTTCGCCTGCTTCGGCGGTGGAGGCGACTGCGAGTGCCCCACTGACCTGAACGGCGGCAGCGGCGTCCTGATCAACGTCTACCCGGGTTACCAGTGCGCGTACCCGAACGGAGCCTGCACCTGGGACGACAAGGTTTGCGCCACCGCCGTCCTTCGTATGTTCTGAGGCTCATGTTGCCTTCTCATTGAATTAGACCGGCGCTCTCCAGAACATCTTCCAAACTAACTGCCCAACCTCTGCGCCCTGCAGCACAGCCGGGGGCTGCTCGTGTCCGTTGGACCTCGACCAAAACACAGGTGTGCTCATCAACCAGTTCACCGGCTACCAGTGCGCGTACCCGGATGGTGCCTGCACTTGGGACTTTGTACGTTGTCTGGTGTATGCGTTGCTCGATAGGATACTGAATTGCTCTCTCCTGTAGGATGGCAACCTTCAGAACACCGCCCAGACGAACTGCCCCACTGACGCCAAGTGCGTCCAGTCCGGCAGCGACTCTTAAAGGCGTCCGCCCTTGTACTCCGCTGAAATATAACTTTTCTTCGTTTATGGCGCCTTCCTTAGTCGATATCTAATGCATCAGTTCATAACCACGCTGTAATTTCTACGCTTCCAAAGCGCAATGTTGCTTCTTTTTCCTTAGCTAGGTTCCATGTAGTTGGTATAGGTCTCTTCGGATCGCTCGGTCTAGTTGTACGAATGACATATATGCCTTGTCTCAATTGATTTCGTTGATAACACGGGCATTAATGCATAATTCGAACAATCCATGCGCAGCTGTCAGCTTGGCTTCTCACTCTGTCATCGACGTGAGCCATATCTACCGCCTGCTTGGCCCGCAAAGGGCCGGCCAGATAGCGGGCTCCTCCGCGAAGCATGTAAAATGCTTAGCGCATGTGGACTGCAGCCTATAAGTGCATATTCACTGATAAAGTCTTATGATAGACATCACAGCGGGGACCTGTAAGCACCCACGAAGTGGAGTAGATGGGCTTGGTGGCGCCGCCAGGCGATGTTGGGGAGCAGCCAGGGACCGGCAATGTCCTGCCGGGTCATGCTCGGCTCCATTCGGTTCGGCTGATGTGAATGGGACACATATTCCAGGCTCCTAGATAACGCAGGAAACACGTGTATTTGCGAATTCTAACCCAGTGTCACGAGAACGTCGCCCGCCTGTACAAGCGCACCTGGTTGGACATCCTTCCCCAGACTGCGGACCGTTCGCCCGACGTTCTCCTCACCAGCTTCGATGTTCACTTCCGTCTTCATCGCCTCGAGCACGACAAGGACGTCTTCAGCAGACTGAACGACATACCCAGGCGCACAGTTCACCTTCCAGACGGATGCAGAAAGAGAGGACTTGACAGTTGAGTCACCTACGCTGCCACCTGCCGGACAGGTCAGTCGCAACGGTGTACAATGCGAAGAAGATCTCACCATTCGACTGCGTAACATCTGCGGCCTCCCGTACGGACTGCTCTTCCCGTTTGCGTTGCTGCCACTGCTGTAGCAGGTGTGCTTCCCTAGTAGAAAAAGCGCCAGCCATGAGCTCTCATTTAACGCGAGGCAGGCAAGAGGGCGACATACTTGGCTTCTTCACGCGCAACGCCCTCGGCCTGCCCTCGCTTGAACAACGCGATCTTTTCCTGGATGGAGTTAACGAATGCGTCGTACTCCGCCATCGAAAACGTCACTGATTCGATCTGTACCTGGTCAATCGAATTACACGTTGCACAGCTGCAGTGTCGTCGCTCACCTCGAATGTATGCTGTCCCGAGTCAAAGCGTTGCTCCATCTTCGAGAATATTCAGCAAGCGCTCGATGACAACAATTTTGAAAAACGCACCTGCAGGTATTCGTCTTCCGAAACGACCTTGAACCTGACCTTTACGCAGCTGGTCAGCCACGGTCTCGAAAGACAAACGCGAGCTTACCTGGTCAAAAGGCTGCAGTAGCCACGGCTGCTTGGCGCTAAACCCATCGCCGCGACCCCACGTCTGCCAAGGAGGCAGCGTCCGGCCGTACAGTTGGTATCCGCCTGGTGACTCAATTGGGTATATCGCAGCGACAAGGCCGGCAATCCCGATGGCGCCCTGAAAGCCGAGGTTGGAGAGGTCATGGGAGGCGTGAAGAAATACATACTCGCGGCGTATACGTCCGTGACGGGTTCATCTTCTGACCGACGAGACGACAGCGAGGGTCAATCTGAGTTGCACAAGGAATGAGGGTTTACCCCCAGAGGATGGGCAGAGGACGCACCGGTACGAGGAAGGGGCATGCTAGATAGAATCCTACTCCAAACACGAGCTACCGGCCTCGAGCAGTCAGGAGCTACCAGATCGTCAAAGAGGATGGAATACGCACCCAGTCAGTGTCCACCAGTAACCTCAACGCTTCTTGTGCCCCGCCTTCCAGGCCGTTGTTCCGCGCCAGATACTCGACGTTGCTGGGGAGGTAGACCGCCTTGTCGCGGATCGAGCGCATGTACCGCTCGAGCGCTTCGTGGTTCCAGCGGTCGTTGAGCACGATTGGGAAGATGATCTTGCGCCCGGGAAAAGACGTGCTGGCCATGCTGTCTGGCAGTGACGCCTCGACGTCTATGAGCACGACCAAGAGGTCGGACTGGGATATGACTGTTGGGTCGAAATGGATCTGTTAAGACATGGTGAGCTCAGCGTCTTGTCGCGAATGTATCCACGATACAGACCATTGTAGAACGGATGCAAGGTGCCATAGACCACACAGCCGATATCTCGCGCGCAGCTAGCTCCCGCTCAAATGCATGCACTCGTGCACGTACATGAAAGTCAAGCAATAGCTCGCCGTATTCGAGCAGAATCGCCGAATCGCCCGCCTGCGGAATCGTTATTACACTCGTTAATCACCGTTGTTGCACACACCTGGCGGAATACAGCGCGCGGTCGCTCCCCGTGTGGGAGTACAACGTGTAACTTGGGATCTTCAGGTGTATCCTTGAACACGGTAGAGAACAGTGGTGCAGGCGCGTCCGTCATCATGGATGCCGGGAGCGAGATCTGGTCGAGATACTCGACTGTCATCGCCGACAGTGCCATTGCCTGCTCAAACGAGACACGGACGAACTGTACCGTGTCACCCGGGCGAAGCTGGCCAAGCTTCCAACTGGTTGATTGGACCGTCAGCACAGATACACAAAGAGAGATATGCACACTGACAACTCGGCCGTAGCAACCGTACAAACGCACAGGTACCCGCCCATATCCGGGCCCTCGTTGGTCAATATTACAGGCGTGTCGCCATTTACGTTCACTGTGCCGAGCGCGTACCCGTTGTCGTGGATGTTACTCGGATGCGACCCACCCTCGCCGCCGCTCGCGCGCGCCCAGTCGATCCGCGGGCCCTCCAGGCGCACGCCCATCCGATTGCTTGACGGGCTGACCTTCCAGGGCGCTGCAAAGAACGCATCAATGCCCGGACGTGTGATGAAGTCCTCGTCGCAGTGCGGACCCGCGAGGACGTGTAAAGCCCAGTGGGACGGGTACGGTGGGCGGAGAGACTGTGGGAGCGAGGCCGGGACGTCGCCGACAAGAAACGAGCAGTCGCCGAGCGCGAGCTGGTCCCCGGCAGTTAAGGCCCTGCCCTACACATACCTGTCAATAGGCATGCGTAAAAGCAAGATGTTCCGACATACTTGATATCCGCCCAGTCCCATGCTCGTCGCCTTCGAGCCCAGATACGCAGGTACCTCCAGGAAGCCGCCCTTCACCGCGAGGTACGCCCTGAAACCCCCTTCCCCAATCGTACCGATACCGAGCTTAGCGCCGCCGGGCACATTCAGGCGCCCCCACATCTGTACGCGCTGCCCATCGATGGTGACCTTGACATCTGCGCCAGTGACGGCAACGACCGCGGGCACGTGGAAGAGTAGCCTGCATCCGACGAGTGTAATCTCGAGAGCCTCCATACCGGGCGCGTTGCCCACTAGAATATTCGCCGCTCGGTACGCGAGCGAATCCATCGGTCCGCTACGTGGAAGCCCCCGACCAAGTAGTCGGCCGGGAAAATCTTGAACTGTTGTCTCGAGGCCGCCGCTTAGAACGTCGACAACTCTGGTAGAAAGATATTTAGTAATGGGCTGGCTATCAGCTCAGTAACGTACCTCGGTATAAACTCGAACGTGTCCAAGAATTTAGTCGTTGTCTTCCCCGCCTGGAACGTCTCCGATTTACAGATCGCCCGAAGGTACGCGATATTGTTGGGTGGGCCATACACTCTCGTCTCTGATAACACCTCATGAAGTCTATCAATTGCCTGTTGCCGACTGGCTCCGGATACAATCATCTTGGCGACCAAGGGATCAAAAAACGGCGTAATGGTTGTGCCCGTGGTGACCCAGGTATCAACTCGTAGCCAGTCGCGCTCAGGGAACACGACGTGCTGGAGCAAACCCGGGGACGGTTTGAAATTCGCAGCTGGGTTCTCACAGTACACTCGCGCTTCGACTGCGTATACATTCGACGTCATGTATGATTGCTGGTCGAGGAGGGCAGGTGCTTGCGTCGTTTCGGCAGTAATACGCTGCGCGACACCTTGGAGGATCATGAGCTCAACGATGTCAAGCCCTGAATGAGCGGCCTCGGTGACGGTATGCTCGACCTGAGAGACGATCAGAGAGTATATGGTACGAGAGAAGGAGAAAACATGCCTGTATGCGCGTATTCATTTCGAGAAAGAAGAAATCGCCCGTTGCATCATCAGCTATGAACTCAACGGTCCCTAGGGGCTCGTTAGTGCGGTGGCCCCAGCCCGAGAGCTAGTCACGTACCTGCCGAATTGTAGCCGATCTCACGACACAAACGGACGGCAGCTTCGCACATCTTCTCGCGCAAGCCTTGAGTCTCGTTAGCTTTTCAGGGATCGCATGTATAGGGTTTCGCGCACACCTGGATGTTCCGCGAGAAACGGGCTCGGAGTCTCCTCAATGACTTTCTGGTACCGCCGCTGGACGCTGCATTCTCGTTCGCCCATGTGAACGACATGTCCAAGCCCGTTACCGAATATCTGGAGTTCAAGGTGAGCAGTTGGACACAGAAGAGAAGCCTAGAACGTGCCTGCACTTCGATGTGACGACCTTGCTCGATGTATCTCTCGAGTAATATGCCGCTATCATGGAACAAGGACTAGGTCGCTTGTTAACAGACAGAAATCAAGGCGAGGACTAGGCACACACCTTCGCGCGCTCCTGCGTAGCCACAAACGTCTTGTATACGTCGCGCTCGTCCTGGCAGACAACCAAGCCCATCCCACCGCCTCCTGCGGTCGACTTTAGCATTATCGGGAAACCTATCTGAGTGGCAGCTTGAACAGCCGCGTCCGCGTCCATAACAAGTCCGCCGGACCCGGGGATGACAGGGACACCTGCGCGTGTGGCAATAGCTCGCGCTTCGTGCTTCAGGCCCATAGCTCGGATGGTTGTCGGGCTTGGACCCAGCCATGTTATGCCGTTCTGCTCCAAACCCGACGCTAGTTCTGCGTTCTCAGAGAGGAAGCCATAGCCTGGGTGAACGAGCGTGACATTATGCGCCTTGCATACATCAACGATGGTGTTAACGTCGAGATACCCGCGCGAGTTAGAGAGTGGGTTTGTGTCGTCTGCGCGTAAGGGGATCGCTTCGTCTGCAAGCGACACGTGCGGCGACGTGGAGTCGGTCTGGGTGTATATTGCGATTGTTGGGATGCCGAGCTTCTTAGCTGTTCGCAGGATGCGCACTGCGATCTCGCCACGGTTTGCAACCAACAGCCTTTGGTCGCTGAGGGACATGTCGACGAGGCAGACGTAGCTTGGGTGCGGCAACGAGAGCACATACTTCTGTAAGCATATTTTGTATGTCAGGCCGACACACGATGGTCATGGGTGCGCACCTGGCTCCCCAATTCCCAAGGGTCTTTGGTCCACCCACTGATAAGGCCTTGTGGTCCGCGTGACGCTAGGTGATCTCATCCTTCAGGAGTAAATGCGAACCAATTTGTCCACGCTCGGGGCGAGTTTCGTTGGAGCTCGTCGGAGCGTTGGCGTTGGTGAAGGACGCGTTAGGCGGCCATCGTTGCTGATGCGTTCGAGTTTTTGGAGAGCGAGAACCCTGGTGAGTTATCTTCGCGTCGACAAATGACCAGTACGATGAGGCATGAGTGCACGAGCAAAGAACTGCAGGCCCAGGTTGAAATAGTTTGCCATCACTAGAGTTGACGGCCTCGGCCCCACACTTTGACCTGGTCCCGTCGCCGCCTCACGCGCGCCCCGCGCTTCCTGAGTTAGGACCACAATATTTGTCTGGGTCTCGCAAGTCCGCAGGCCAGCAACTCCCGGCCAGCTCTTCACAACAAGAGGATTGCGGCGAATAAGGAAGCACCCAAGGCCTCTAGGCCTGAGGTTATCTCTCAAGCGGTCTTTATGGCGGAGTTTGCCAGCAGTCGAGGACGCAAACGCAAACGGCCCTCTGTTGACTCAGACAACGAGCACAGTGCTGAGCCTGACAACACCATGCTCGCCCAATCAGATGCCGCGCTTCCTGCTCCGGTGCCCATGCTGCCTCCGCCTTCCACCAACGAGAAGCCTCTTGTCGGTGGGTGTCGTCAATGCACGGTGTTAGAGGATGGTTGCTGGCCATCTAGAGAGCCCCCGGGCCGCTGGTGCTACACCTGTCGGGTTCTCTCTACGCAATCTAAACCCAAGCTTCCTGAGGCACGCCTATCGAACATAACATCTGAGGCCGCTCAGAAGCTGGCCAACAACCGCCCTGAAGAGGACAAAGAAGATCATGTCGGGCCCAGTGACTGCGGCGACAAGCTCGCCGAGGGCGCCCGCTTCCTTGCGCGCAAGCCAAAGACTACAACGCACACTCGTGTCCCGCGACCGGTTGACGAAGCCCCAGTAGACACGCATACCCCCCAGGAGGTGAGGGCAGTGTCCTTCTCGGACTGTCTGTTTTTGCTAACGACTCTCGCCAGCCTACACAACATGCCAGACCTCCGTATTTTAGCGCGCTGCACAACTCGATGCAGGAGACCCTCTACAGGGTCGAACGCGAAGTGCGCAGATAAGCCACCTCAAGCTGGCGACTGCCGCTCGCACGCAGTCGCTCATGGAAATCGCCAGCTGCCTCTTATCTCGTGCTGCTGTTCTCGAAGATGCCCCGTTGGAAGCAGACCATGATATGGACCTCGCAGCATACTCGCTCAAGGAACTCACCGCCTTCACCGACAGAATTTCCGACCCAAACGTGAAGATCTTTGATGCCTGCCGCAAGCGGCAGGAGGTGCGGTGTGCAGATGGTGCCAAAGGGTCGTCTGTGTGACTGTTACTGTCTACATGACATATTGCAATGGGTTGTAGTTTTCGTGAGTGAGACTCGGAGTCTCCACCACTTTCTTAGTGACACAACCATTTTGGGTGCAGGTCTTATATAGTTGAAGCCTGACTAGAATGAATGCCATCATCTTGTCTACAACCACTCTCTGTACTCTTGAGAGCGACCGGCTAGATGATTAGTGAGCCTTTTAGAAGCCTTCGCGCGCACCAGAAGTCACGATGTGAAACCTCGTACATCTTGCCGATACTTTTGCGTTCTCGGCGGGTGAGGACCTCAGTGAGCTGGCCCCGCGTCGGAGCACGTGCACAATAAGGCATATGGTGGAGGGCGGAAGACGGAGCTTCACATCAAACTGCACTTTTGCCCCGGAGTGACCTAGTTAATCCATATTTCAACGCACGACAGACCTAACCGTAGAAAAACAGCTAAATCTGCACCGTGCTCTAAAGAGCATCTATCAGCTCTCTACATACACTCAAGATACTTCTCTCTGCCCTGCAATGATACTAAAAACAAGGGTAGAGATCCACTGTTGTGCCACTTGACCTAACCCTGGGTAAAACCAAACCCGAAGCGCGATCGAGTCGGAAACGGCCAAACCATGGCTCAAAATCCAGAACTTCAAGAACCTGTCCCGTGGATTTTGTAGCCACCTAGTCCAGTCCAGTATCCTACTATTGCATGAGAAACTGACCTCTAAAGGCCTAAAGTGTTGTGACAAGCAAACCTTGGTGGTCGGAGGGCTGGACTTGGGCACTTGTAATGGCTGGACTTGGGCACTTTTAATGGCTGGACTTGGACACTTGTCATAAAATCCCGTCCCCCACCATAGGTCCTGGTTACAATTGGAACAGTTCGGTATTGCTACAGCTGATGCGTTGACAGGTTGAACCCTGCGCTTGCTTAAGCGAGGTCCCTAGCTAGAGAGTTCCGGGGTTAGATTTCTGCGCCGCAACCTCTCCTCACCATGTCAACATCGCGTACTGTGAAACCTGGAATATCTCCTCCTTTCTCATTCGCCAGGGCTGCCTTAGCGGCACACCGAGATAAAGAAGAATGCGAGAAGCACAGGTGCACGTTTGCACAGGGTACACAAGAGGAAGAGGAACACCCCTTCTGTCAGCAACTAACAATCTAACTGGACTGAGCTACAATAAAGCTGAGGAGACAGACAAGAGGAATGTGAGTGAGGAAAGACCAGCTTGAGTCTGGCTTGTTATTGAGCAGTACGAGCTCCTTATATACATGTCAGACTGAATATCTAGAATATCCTACGAATATACAGAGGTGTATAAAAAGAGAAAGAATACTATAGAACCCAGGAGAACCATCTGGAATGTGTAATATTCATGACATTACCCCCCCATCTAGAATCGTGTCCTCACGATTATTTACCAGTTGATCCAAAGCCTCCTGTCCCTCATTGAGTTTCTGTTAAACTCGACACCTCCTCGATATCGCATGACACAATACGTTCCAAAATGACTTGTGTGATCTGATCGCCAGCGTGTACCTGGAAGGATTGATTGGTGGAATTGATCAATACTACGTGCACTTCTCCGGTGTAATCTCGGTCGACGACTCCAGCCCCGACATCTATCCCTTTGACTGCTAACCCACTTTGTGGCGCAATTCGTGCATAGGTTTCGTGAGAGGCGCGCATCGCTATGCCGGCGCCGACAACCTTACGATCCCGTGCCGATATTTTGACGCTTTCAGCCGAGTAAAGATCAAACCCGGCAGATTCCTCAGATCCCTGCTTCGGGAGAATCCCACCCATCCATTGTACCAAAAGAGTGGTATCACGCGTGAGTATGTGAATGGGTCGTGTTAATAGAGGGGGGATTCGAATTGTCATGGGCGCAGGTTTGTCAGGTCATCTAGCATGGAATTCCTGAAGGAGTTCTTGACAATTGGTCAAGTTCGCCTGTGATTCCCAGGAGCGGCGATCGCCGTGGGGGCTGTTTTTCCAGAGCACCTGATACTCCAGGTTTCCGTTTCAATCACGACGAGAGTCAAGAATGTCTTCGACTTCCCATTCTTCCTCGCCATTTACGAGGTCAGGGACTATCAGTTCTCGTCGTTGTGATGGATACGTGGGTTCTTTGAAGGGACTAAGTAGGCTTTCAGTGAAAACAGGGTGTTGTTTCCATTGACGTGGGAGTTCCAACTCATAGGCGGAAGCACCGACTTTGCGTTTAACCTTGAAAGGTCCATATCGCTTGTCGTCGAGCTTTTTCATTAGTCTATCTGTTCAGATGTTTATTCCTTCTAGCCAAACTTTATCCCCCACTTTGTACTCTGGTCCGCTCTTTCTCTTTCTGTTGTAGAAGCGCTTCATTGTTTCCTGTGCTAGATTGATAGAAGCGCTAGTGTCTTCACGTACTTGATCCATTCTATCAACAAACTGTTGGACGTTTTCGCTCAGTCCTTCTCGCACCGGTTGGGTTCCTTCGTAAGGGTGATACCCTTTATTGACAAAGAACAGAGTATACCTGGTGGACGAGTGGACTTTATTGTTGTATGAAAAGGCTGCGAGTGGCAACCATTCGGTCCAGTCTGCTTGTCGGTAGTTGATAAATAATCGGAGATATTGTTCTATCTTGCGATTGATGCGTTCCATTTGTTCATCTGTCTGGGGGTGATACGCAGTTGAGGGATTGGCTTCAATTCTGAGGGATCAGTACAACTTGGAGATGAACTGATTCTTGAATTCAGTTCCTCTATCACTGATGATCTTTCGAGGTAATCCGTGATGTGCGACTACGTTATCTCGGAGTGCCTTTGCCCACCCTTCGGCATTGAGTTCAATGGTACTTGGTATCATGATTATCTGCTTAGAGTACATGCAGACGATTACGAGGATCGCATTGTACCCGAAGGAGTCTGGTAATACGCCTATCTTGTCCACAAAGATTACTTCCCAGGGTCGTGAGGGAATTTCGTTTGGAAATAGAAGTCCGGTAGGTCATGTCGTATGGATCTTGGTCTTCTGGCATTTCTCGCATCCGGCCACGTACTTCCTGATACCTTCTCGAATTCGGGGTCACCAGTAGTTGCGCGTGACCATTTCATGCATTTTGTATTGACCAGGGTGTCCAGCCAATGGGGTATCATGGTGATGAGCAATGATCTGCTCATAGAATTTTCTATTTATCGGTACGTAGATACGGTTCTTCCATGTTACAAGTCCGGTACTATCTTCGTTCCAGTCTTTGTCCTTGTTCTGTAAAGCTACGATAACTAGCGAATCTCGGTTCTTTTTGTATTCTCTAATTTCTGCGACCCAGTCCTGGTCGATTCCTTCTAAACTAAATACGGTACTACAAATCAGGGCACGAAAATGTTCTGGTTTCAGTAATACAATATCTGAATTGTCTTTCTTTCCTGCATTGTGCCTCTTTTGGCGAGATAGTCCGTCTGCTTTGCCATTAGATTTACCGGGCTTGTGATGCAGCGAGTATTGATATTCCGCTAACTCGGTTACCCATTGGGCCTGTCGCCGGTTAAGCTTCTGCAGCTTCTGGAAGTATTCTAGATTCTTGTGATCCGTCCATATTTCAAACAGATGTATGGCGCCCATGAGGTACTGACGCCACTCATCAAGACTAGTCATGATCGCGAGAAGTTCCTTGTCGTAAATCTTGTAATTTCTTTCGGCAGCTGTCATGGCTTTAGACAGGTAAGCAACAGGCTTCCATTTGCCATCTTGTTTCTGGGCTAATTCTGCTCCTATAGCAAAGTCCGAGGCGTTGCACTCTACTCGGTATGGGTTGTTGTCATTGGGTATAGCTAGCACTGGCGCTGCGCAGAGAGCGTTCTTCAGGCTTGTGAAGGCTACTTCTTGTTTGACGGTCCACTCAAAAGTAGCGTTGCCTGTTAGCGAACTGAGCGGTTTTGCTATTTTGCCATAATCTCGGATGAACCTTTGGTAGAAGTTGGTAAATCCAAGGAATGCTTGAATGTCTCGTTTGCACTCAGGCCGTGGCCAGTTGACAACTCCTTCTACCTTGACTGGGTCCATGCAAACAACTCCTTTTCCTACTATCATTCCGAGATATTCTATCTCTGCCTTCTCGAACTCGCACTTTTCCGGTTTCAGATAAAGTTTGTGTTCCCTTAAGATCTGAAGGACTTGCCGCGTGATCTGCCGGTGTTCTTTTCAAGTCTTGAGTGAAGATCATGATGTCGTCTAGATAGACTACCACGTGTCCTTGACTGATGAGATCTTGGAATATATCGTTCATTATGGTTTGGAATGTAGCCGGAGAATTGGTAAGACCAAAGAACATAACAAGTGGCTCGAATAATTCTCGATTCGTTAGGAACGCCGCCTTCTCTTCGTCTCCTTCTTTGATGCGGATGTTGTTATATCCCCATCGGACGTCTAGTTTTGTAAAGTACAGCGCCTGCTTTAACTTGTCTACTAATTCCTGTATCAAAGGAAGTGGGTAGCAGTTTTTAATCGTTAGCTCATTTAGCTTCCAATAATCTTGTACGGGTCGGAGTCGTCCATCTTTTTTCTTGACAAAGAAGAATGGAGAAGCCCATGGGGATTTCGATGGTTGGATTCTCCTGGTTCGGAGGTTCTTTTCTGTGAACTTATCAAGTTCTTTTTGTTCATTTATGGAGATAGGGTAAACTTTGCAACTGATCGATTGTGCGCCCGGTGTGAGTTCGATTGCATGGTCCCATGGTCGTCTTTGCGGTGAAGAATCAAAGTCTTATTTGCTAAATACGTTGGAGTAATTGTGATAGTGACTCGGGATGGTATTTTCAAAGGTCTTTGCTTTGTGTTTCAGACTTTCTTTGATTGCTAGATCAGTGGCTGTGGTGCGAATGCATGCTGCTCCCGTAGCGGAGTATGTTTCATGGTCTAGAATAAAGATTCTATTCCCTTCTTCTAGGTGAGCCTCCGGATCGCTGGGCTCTTCCTGATCAGCATCAATATCAATTAATCGGGCAGCATATTTGCAGGTAATTGGGCACCGATCAAACTGAATGACTTGCTCCTGCCAATCAATGGATGGATTATGAATCTGCAACCACTCATATCCAAGGAAAATTGGAGTCTTCCCTAGATTGGTAACTGCGAACGGGAGTCGTTCTACATGGTCCTGAATTTCTACCCTTAATTCAACAAAGTCGGTGATAGCACCGCCGGCGTTATGCATGCCGTCTGCATTATAGACAGGGATTGGTGATGGCAGTTTCTTTGTAGCGATGTTGTTATCGCAGACAAACTGCACATCAATAGAAGATCCAGTACATCCTGTGTCTAATAGTGCTTTGACTGATAAGCGCTGCTGCGTGTCGAGGATGGTGATGATCATGGGGACGTCCATCTGTGTCCCCTTCCTTCCCTGGATAAACCGAGGCTGCTTTCGTAATTCATTCAAGAAGTCTATAGCTTCTTCTTCTTTCATTTGCCTGATTTGGTTCATACAGGCTTCGGAGGCATCAGCACTCTTCTTTGAGTGTACCCATTCAGTCAACAATCTAAGCGCTGCAGCTTCTTTGTTGATTATCCATTGGCGGATCCAAGCCGCTGTCCAAGGTGTGTGGCGCTGCCACTGCGTAGGTTCGGTCTGATGTTCTGGTGTAGGTAATAATTTTTTATTTGGGGGAATTAAGCAAGAGGGTTGAACCTCTCCGCGCTGCTCTGCGGACGCCCCTTTCTTTTGTATGTACATGGGGACCCCAAACCAAGAACACAGATAGTTTATGAAATTCTCTTCAGTCAACTCGGCTACGCACCCGGCTGACCGCTTGCAAAACCCTTCATGGCCGCGCGAATTTCTTCGCAAATTGCTGTCTTTCAGTCAAATGGTTCTGCCGTCGCGGCAGGAGCTTCATTGAGTGATGCGAGTTGTGTGAATGTATTGGTAGTGGGAACTGCCGGGGTTTCCGCGGCCCGTACTTGTTGGGCTTGTTGCCAATTAGGGCAATTGTGCAAAAGATGGCCCTTTTCTCCGCATCGGAAGCAAAGGCCCAAGCGTCGTGCCTGGTCTAGCTCCATCGGCTGGCCTCTGCCACCAAATGTGATGCCTGTCCCATCGCAACGTGTCTGGACCGGGGCGCTTGCGGTTGGCACAGCTACGTTAGCCTGTGCTTGTGGCGCACTTTGTGCCTGCTGCTGCCGAGGCTGAAATTGTCCTTGTCGCTGGGACTGTGGGTTTCGCCAACGGTACTGCTGCTGATTTAGGTCAATGCGTGCGACCCGTAGCTTATAGAGCGCGTATGTGGTCGGCAGTTCCTCCGAAGAATTATACAGAAGCCAAATGATGTCGGCCCGGAGTGCTTTTTCTAGAAGCGACTTGAGCTCCTGGAAATGTGCTTCAAAATCGTGTATATTTGCCTGAAAGACGCATAACTCGAACTTCGAGAAAAACTCTTGTGCTGATAACGTCCCCATCTGCATTGCCTGGAGCCGATCGTATGCTTCGGCTTGTTCATCAATTAAGAAGTGCTTGTCCAGGTCTTCCCACAGTGCTTTTGTGGTCTGTATCACGGAATTTTTGTCCGCGTCGTACTTCTTCATGAACGTAGCGACATATTTGCCCGCGTGTCCACCTTTCATGTAAGACAAAATCATAAGGACTCTGTCGAACTGCTCTGGTAGCCGCTTCCTCTGCGTAACTACATAGAGTTTCATTTGGGTTTTCCAAGCAATGTACTTGGATTTTGTGCCGTCAAAGGTGTCTGGCTTCATCGCGCTTCCATTGAGGAGTGCGGCACTGTCTTGGTTCTCGGCCATTGCGCCGGGATCAGAGGGAGACGAGGGTGGAGTGGGAGAATGACGAGAAGGTGGATTCGAGGATTCAGAATCTTCTACTGCTTCTTCCACGGGGTTTGGTGGGCCCTCTGGTGGTGCTTCAGATTCTCCGAGGGCGATTGAGCGGAGATGGTCAGTGACCGATTCGAGAGTGTCTCGTCTGGTTCTGGGTTCTGAACCGGACGCTATGGGTTGCGGGACTGCGAGAGATTCTGAGGGTGCTCCTGTGGGAACTCTTTGTAGCAGTTCTCCACATAGTCCTTCTCTGCACCAGAGACAACGACTGCTATTATCCGGAGAGTGTGGGCACGGTTGTTGCGCACAGTACCGTACATTATCGCCGCATATGTAGATGGATCTCCCTTCTAGTTCTCGATGTGTATGTCCTCTACAATCACAGGAAGGTGTGGTCATAGGGTGTCAGGTCCGTGGGGCTGGTTGCAGCAAACCCTGGGACTAATCATGTTGTAATGACCAGATCAGGGGTAGAATTTGCCAAAGATGGAAATTTCCAAATAAGAACCGAAACGCTAATTGTAATACAGTTCTAGAGATACTGTAGCAGTCCAAAGAGCAATTGTGTCTCTTCAGTTCGACGCCCTCAAAGAGATCGTCGATCTAACTGCTACCACTTTTCCGACGCCCGGTTGCAACCGGTTGCCACGTCGTACTCAGGAATATCCGCTTGCGCTACGCAAAGTGTTTAACACCGCCTATGGTAGGGCAGTGTACGATTCTAATTGGACGGAGCTCTGTCTAGCCGCCTAAGGGCTAGTGATTACAGAGGTGACTTTGGGAATGTGGTATGGTAAAAGTTGTGCAAATGCACGGAGAAGGGTTCCAGGGGTCCGGATCTTGATGCAGTAGAGTTTGATAGGGTTAGGATTTAGGGTGAGAGTCGGATGTGCATATAGGGTGGATCGTCGTGTGGAGATGGGTGATGGTTGGTGTGGGAGTGACGAGAATCGTCGTAGGGCAGTTGGTGGAGACTCGAGCTAATGTCAGCAACTAACAATCCAACTGGACTGAGCTACAACAAAGCTGAGGAGACAGACAAGAGGAATGTGAGTGAGGAAAGACCAGCTTGAGTCTGGCTTGTTATTGAGCAGTACGAGCTCCTTATATACATGTCAGACTGAATATCCAGAATATCCTATGAATATACAGAGGTGTATAGAAAGAGAAAGAATACTATAGAACCCGGGAGAACCATCCGGAATGTGTAATATTCATGACACCTTCCCAGTGACCAAAGACGAGGAGCTCGAGAATCGAGAATATCACCTAGCTCAGGCAAGGTCCCAGACTCACCAACACCAGCAGGATCATCAGGTACCACCCAACCAGCACCATGTGCAGGCCAAGGTTCTCAAGAGCCCAATAGAATTGGTAGTGAGCAATTGTTCTGGCACGAATAGTTCCAATACTCATCATGCCGCAGAACACCATCCGAAGTGAGACCGGCGAACTTGACGAGGCGATACTTCAAGGTGTGGGACAAGATCTATTTCATCATTGCAAGATCTCTGCCAACTCTAGTTTCCTCGATCCTTTCATAACAAACAAACTACACGCATTTTCCAGTGAGGAGTCCAGACTTGGTCACTTGCCGCAGACAATATTAATCTGCTAGATCTCGATGCCATAGAAGATGAAATATCTCAGGCGCTAGGTGAAGGTGAGGAGGTGCAAGAGTGTAGTGTCTCTGGCAAGGATAAGGGCAAGGGCAAGGCCAGGTACGAGGATGAGGATGAGGAAGAAGATGAAGATGAAGATGAGGGTGAGGAAGAAGATGAAGATGAAGATGAGGGTGAGGAAGGTGAGTACAACTACAAAGGGGAGGATGAACTTGAAGAGGAGGATGAACTTGAAGAGGAGGGCGAATTTGAAGAGGAGGGTGAACTTGAAGACAAACTCGCCAACAATCATACTGCAAACTCCACGTTCAGTAAAACACCGTCTTTGCCAGGTTGCCCTAAAGTACGGGACACGACTTGGAATCAACGATTGTTAGCATTTGCTCAGCGGCGCCCTGACGACACTGTCGCCAGTGGCTTCGACAGAGTGAGTTGTGCCTGAAGTTCTTGTCCATGGCACTACTGAGTCAGAGCTGACTGAGAATTGTTGTTATTTGTTTGCAGTGTGCAAACTGCTCGTCTAAAGAGACATGCGTCTTCCATAAGGACGATAGACGATGCATTTCATGCTTCACCTCCAAGCACGGTTGTCTGGGAAGGGGAACCGCCACGACTGCAGCCCTAAAAAGAAGACGAACTGATGAATATCCAGAGACGTGAAGCGGCGCTCGCGCGAAAACTGTCCATACATCTGATCCTCTCGCTCCCACTGTAGCTGCGACAGGTAAGTTGCATTGTTCATTGTGTGATGGGGAACATGCTTAACATAATTTTCAGGAGACACGCCAATGACCTCAGGCTCTGCACCTACAGCCACAGTCGTGCGCACCCCGAAACCTCTCTATGTTGTTGATGGAGCTGGTGACCTTCCTCTGCCTCGCACAAATGCCGAAGAGCGAGCTTGTCATGAATATTACATATCCTGGATGGTTCTCCCGGGTTCCATAGTATTCTTTTACTTTCTATACACCTCCGTATATTCGTAGGATATTCTAGGTATTCAGTCTGACATGTATAAAAGGAGCTCGTACTGCTCAATAACAAGCCAGACTCGAGCTGGTCTTTCCTCACCTATTTTCCTCTCGTCTGTCTCCTCAGCTTCGTCGTAGCCCAGTCCAGTTGGATTGTAGGTTGCTGACATTAGCTCGAGTCTCCACCAACTGCCCTACGACGATCCTCGTCACTCTCACACCAACCATCACCTATATCCACATGACAATCCATCTCATTTTACCCAACCAAAATCTCACCCCAATCCTAACCCTATCAATTCTACCGCATCAAGACCCCAGGAACCCTTTTCCATGCACTTGCACATAACCACTTCCCTATCCGATCCCTGGTAATCCCTTGCTCCGTTGGAGCTCGACCAGGTCGTGTTTGTATTGGATTCGTGCCCCGGCCTACCATAGCTGGCGCTAAACGTGTTGCGCAGTGCACACGGTTATCCTGAGTACAACGTGGCAACCGGCTGAGGCTGGGCGTCGGAAAAGAGACAAAGCTTCGTATTGGCGATCCCTACCCCGGGTGTCGGACCGAGAGAGACATAATTGCTCTCTTGGGGCTTTGAACTATATCGTAGAACTGTAAAATTCGAAGTTCCATATATACACCGACCAATTCCCTATCTTGGCAAATTCTACCTCTGATCCGGTCGTTCCAACACGATTGGTCCCAGAGTTGCTGCAAGATAAGCTTCACGGACCCGATACCCTATGACCACGCCTTCCTGCAATTGTAGAGGACATACACACCGAGAGCTAGAGGGAAGATCTATCTACCTACGAGGTGACAACTTACGGTACTGCGCGCAACAGCCCTGCCCACATTCTCCGGATAATAGCAATCGTTGTCCCCGGTGTAGGGAAGGACTACGCGGAGAAATAGTACAGAGAGTTACTACAGGAGCACCCGCAGAATCTATCGCAGCTCTACAACCCAGAGCATCCGGTTCAGAACCCAGAACCAAACGAGACACTCTCGAATCAGTCACTGACCATCTCCACTCGATCGCCCTCGGAGAATCCGAAGCACCACCAGAGGGCCCACCAAACCCCGTGGAAGAAGCAGTAGAAGATTCTGACGCTTCGAACCCACCTTCTCGCCATTCTCCCACTCCACCTTCATCCCCATCTGATCCCGGCGCGATGGCCGAGAACCAAGACAATGCCGCGCTCATAAATGGAAGTGCGATGAAGCCCGATGCCTTCGATGGCACGAAGTCCAAGTATATCGCTTGGAAGACACAGATGAAGCTCTATGTAGTAACGCAAAGGAAGTGACTGCCTGAGCAATTCGACAGGGTCTTAATGATCTTGTCCTACATTAAAGAAGGTCATGCTGGCGAATACGTCGCCACATACATGAAGAAATACGACACCGATGAAAACACGGTGATCCAGACCACAACGGAACTATGGACGGATCTGGATAGACATTTCCTAATCGATGAGCAGGCCGAAGCCTACGACCGTTTGCAAGCAATGCAGATGGGAGCGCTATCGGCGCAAGAGTTCTTCTCGAAGTTTGAGTTGTGCGCCTTCCAGGCGAATATTCACGACTTCGAAGCGCACTTCCAGGAACTCAAGTCACTTCTAGAAAAAGCGCTCCGGGCCGACATCATTCGACTTCTGTACAATTCGTCGGAAGAACTCCCCGCCACATATGCACTCTACAAGCAACGGGTCGCGCGCATCGACCTAAATCAGCAACAGTATCGTCGAAGAAACCCTCAGTCCCAATGACAGGGACAGTTTCAACCAAGGCAGCAGCAGGCACAAAACCCACCGCGAACAAATGCATCCGCACCAGCAACTTCCACCGCGCCAGTTCAAACACGGCGCGACAGAACCGGTGTCACATTCGGCGGCAGAGGGCAACCAATGGATTTAGATCAAGTGCGACGCCAGGGTCTTTGTTTCCAATGTGGTCAACAGGATCACATATCACGAAATTGCCCTAATCGGCAACAAGCTCAACAAGTACGAGCCGCGGAAACCCCAATAGTTCCCACCACCAACACGTTCGCACCCCTCACATCACTGAATGAAGCTCCTGCCGCGACGGCAGAACCATTCGACTGGAAGAAGGCAATTCACGAAGAAATTTGTGCGGCTATGAAGGGTTTTGCAAGCGGTCAGCCGGGCGCGTTGTCGTAAAGAAAAGGTTAGGATAAGAAAAGTAAGTAAAATAAAAATGAGGTTTGGTATAAGGAAGATTCTAGGAGAAATCCTAGAAGGTTACTTTTTAATAAAAGAGAATGGAGTTTGTTCTGTTCTAAACTAAAAGCAAGAAGGGTATAGTATGGAATACTTAGATTTGGTTTTCCCAATCTTTTCTTTCCAGGGTTCACTGGGTTAGCCTTTCAACCAAGCTATCCTGGTGTTCGTGGGGGACTAATTCAAAGACCACCTACTAATCTGCTTAAGTACTCTAAAGCCTCACTTGCCTGTTACAAGGGACTTTTAAGGAATCTTAGAAGATGGGCTGTAAGAAGGTTTAGTTAGTAGCTTAAGGACTAGCTACTTGGGTTAGTAGAATAGGGTTTTTAGATAAGTAAGATAAGAGGGTAACAAAGACAAGTTAATGTCTTGGTTAACTTAGTAAGCTTTGGCTAGTAAGGACAATTCAATGTCCTTAGAGGATTTGTATAACTTGAAGCAGTCTGAAGCTTCCAATTTAGAGTTAAAGATCAAGAATAGATTTAATCTTTTTACTGCTAGTCTAATTACTGTAAGCTCTACAGGAGACGTACCACAGTCTCAAATAATGACGCCACTAGCTCTCGCAGTCTAGGGTTAGTCAAA